AATTACTTAATATTATAGATTTAACACTAGATGGCAACACCACTGAAGAAAGTTTATTGCAGGATCAATTTAAATGAGTATTCTCTCTCTGGTATCATTTAGAAGAAAAAAAACTAATCTGTTTCACCGGATTCATTCATTTTGGATTAGTCCCAAATGGAGCCAGTTTCTCTCATATTCAGTATTAATGTATGTAGCATTTTGGATAAATTTTTGATAATCTGGCAATGGTGATAAACTTTTTGCATCATTTCAGACAATTATTAAGTTTCTCTCATAACTTAGTTAAGCTTTCACGTTATATTCAAATGATATCACTTTTTTTAGTTCCTTCCACTTATTTATGCATATATTTTAAAATATTTGGTTTCATGTGTTTTATTTTAATATGTTTTTATGTTATTTTCTTCAAAAGTTTTAAAGATTAAACCAGGGTGGCCACTCAAATCAGGTTTCAAATTTCCCTGATTTTTCCAGTAAAAATCTTAAAATTTCCAACTCAGTGTGTTTTCTTCTTCTTTTTTCCTTATGATGTTTAGGTGGGTACAAGAAAAGTGTCAATATTATAAAGTATTTTATTTAAAATGTTATTTATTTAATATATCATTGAGCAGATGCGGAAAAAATAATATGTTTAGCTTGTAGAATATATTGCTTTTAATGAAAAAAATTTTTTAAAGATTTAAGTAGTTTTTGCACAAAATAGTAAATACAGAGCGACCTAAAAAAACTTGGATAAGTACTGTTTAATGTATTTTCATTAAGCAAAAGAAAATAATTGCATGGGATTATACATCAATAATTTTTTTTATTTATTTACATTTCAATTTAGAGCTATTTTATACTGTATTTTAAATAAATTACAGGGTGTCGGACGTAAAAAATTAAAATAAATTTCTTAGAAAAAACTTCTTATAAAACATAAGCTAAGTTTATAACCATCAAATTTTTATATTAACCTATCGAAAACAATTTGTTTTATAAAAGCTGATAATAATAAAATCAAATTAAATGGTTCAAATTCTTGGTGTTGGATGCAAATTGCACAAAAGCAAAATTATTACTCACTTACAAACTGTCTAAACTCTGTGAATTTGTTTGTAATTTAGATGTAAACTTAAATGCATTTTGAAGCTTTCATTTGAATAAAACAATTTAAGCAGTTCTTAACTTGTAAAATATGATTTATAATTAATTTTAAAAAATTTATTTCAGTTTCAGACAACATAAGTCAGTGTCAAGTCAGCTTTTTTCACTTCAGTGTTATTGTTAAAGTTGGATATAAATTTAAGTTAATGATAACCATTATAATTACTGAAAATTACTTTAATTTTAATCTTAACACTTTAAACATTATTTTTCAATTAAATGACTTTCGACATAGTGATTAATAATTGAATTTTGAATCAAAAATCAAATATTTACCAACAAAACAGTAAAACTTAATGTTATATATCTAGATGGTTCGTAAAAAAAGTTTCTTTTTTAAAATAAAATATGTTATAAAAGGCTAAAATGAAATCCAAAAAAAAAAGCATCAATGCAACAATGGTTACGATTTTGCCATTAACGATTCAAGAAAATGAGTGATTGGTAGGCTTTGCTAAGAAAAAATAATTCTTTGGATGGGAGAACAAAAGCTTTCAGAAAAAGAGTGCAAGATAAAATCTATTATTAAAATTATAACCAATTATTTTTTGGAGATTTTATAAAGTAAAAATACTAAAATATTTTAAATCATTTTGTTAACATAAAAAATACTCCCAAAGCATCGGAACAAACTTTAACAATAAATTAATTCAGCCCACGAACTAGAAGATAAAAAATCCTACTTATATAAACAGAAGCCAATATCCTAACCCTTTTTTTCACCTCCACCACAATTTTTGCCTTTTTTAAACTGTGCAGTCCCATAATCTCCAAAGAGGTCAAAGATTTCTCCATTCATTTAGCAACAGGGGAGAGTTTCATATGGCAGTCTAGTTTAGCAGGATAATAATGGAGAGAATTTTAATGCAAGCAAAGTATTGTTAAGTTGATGATATTTCAACTGTTTGACAATAAATTTCCATCTAAATAAAGTGGATACAGCGAATGGCAAAATAATTTAAATTAAGAAAAAAAATTCCAGCTTTTCTTTAAAATTCCCTGATTTTTCCAGGTTTTTATCCAAATTTCCCTGATTTTTCCAGTATAAAAAAATTCCCTGATAATTCCAGGTGGGTGGCCACCCTGTAAACACAGTTTAATGTTTATAAAAATTATACATCTATGAATTAATTTTGATTAATTAAAGGTATTCGCTTTATGTTCCCATTTAAAATATATTGTATACGTAAAATTTTGTCGATGCAGTCCAATTAAAATAATTTTAAAAAAAGTTTTATTTTTAACACTTTATTATTAAGGGTATTATCTATGATACAATAATTTTTTTCAGACAGAATGGTAGTTTAACCAAATTTTATTTAAACTAATTGTACATTTCCTTTTTTTTGTTACTACTTTAATTATTAATCACTCCATGTCAGATCAATCACTTTGGTGCAGAAAGATTTTAATGAAATTTGGTTAAATGGACATGCATGACAAAATTCTACCAATTTTTAATTTGAAAACTGTCTAAGTTATGGACATGTAAAACTTTCATAAAAAATGACAAACTTGCATTATTTTTTTCCTAATTTGCAGTAAAAGAAAATTTCACACCGTTGCAAAGCTAAGGAATTGACCTTTCAATCAATACCTTATTTCATCTATACCATTCTCAGATGTAAAAATACATATTAAAAAGTATATAAAATCTTTATGGCAGCAGCAGTGGGATAACCAAGTGAATAATAAGTTGCACGCTCATAAGTCAAATTTGGAACCCTTCCCTGTGTTGCGACTATGTAGTGCAGATGTTAAGCTTACCCGTCTGCGAATCGGACACACCAGACTGACCCATCTACATTTGTTGTTTGGTGAACCACCTCCTCAATGCAACACTTGTGATGTTTTACTTTCGATTCACCATATTTTAATCACTTGCCCGTATTTTAACAGACATCGTCTTGCCTTTTTTGGCAGTTCTATTTTATCTATGGGAGATTTGTTAGGTGACTCTCATCATCCGAACATTTTTGCATTTTTACGTGCTATTGGCATTTTAAATTGTATATAAGTTTATTCTGTTCATGAATTTATTCATTTTTAGAAGGATATTCTTACTTTTATACTATTTTACTGTGTTTTAACTTTGACGTGATTTTATTCCAATACTACCGTTGATTGTTTGTATATGATTTTATCAATTTTTTAATTATATTTAGGAAAATAAGTATGCACTTCAATTTTGACATGTATAAACATATTGTTTGGCGCAGCATGTCCACATTTGGATTTTGTGCCATTAAACTCTACATTCAATCAATCAATCAATACCTTATTTCACATTCCTATGCAAGGTCAAGGAATGAATGACACCCGATTTGTCTTTTGATCTTAAATATCTAGAAAACCTTTCCTCAAAAAAATGCTACAATATTCCTCTATTAATACGCCAAATTGTAGCTTGGTATATTGTCAGGAAGATTGTACAAAATTAATAAAAGTGATATGCAATGCTGCTGACTACTTCCACCTACAATGAAACTAAACCCAGTAAAACATTCCTGCGACAGCCAGCTGTGGATCATGGAGGTTAAGGCTCCACAATTTTGCCACAAACAGCATGATTTTGGCAATGTGGTCAGCACTGCAGAGGCTGCCTTTACTTCCGAGATAAGCTGGTACCCACTGATCTGAAGCTGGGTAAGCCGCCACTGGGGATCGAACCCCAGTTCTTCACAATGACAATTTAGTACCTTAATCACTGAGTCACACTTAACCCAGTACCTATGGTACCTTTCATAAAACCTAAAATTATATAGAAGTTCTTTATTTTAATATCTTTAGAGTTAGTTAAATTTAGTATTCATTTAATTAATTGATTATCATTGGTAATATCACTATTTATTGTGAATGACATACAATTCATCATTAATTTCTTATATAATTTGGGGAATCAGGATCTGAATAAAAGTGACAGCAAATATTTATACGCAGAACTGCAGATAAATGATAAAAAATATTTCAGTATGTTTTATTTTATTTTATGACCGCCGTTGAACAGTCGACCCAATTTTTGGGTTTACGACTACAAATGTTCAACGCCGTAGCCTTGTAATTTTGAACCAATCCAGAAGACAAGGAAACTCCTGGATCGGTACCCCCAGAGGTATTGATTTGTTATGGGAACATGGAGGACTTTGAGACTCGACAGATTTAACGTGCATCAGTCACCATTTACTACATGGGGAGTCTTCGACCAGCAGGCCCCGAACCCACAAACTCTTGGACATGGGCCCGGCACCCCACTGACCAGGCTATCCCGGCCTAGATTTCAGTATGTTTGGAAGAAGCAGCTTTTTTTATATAAATTTTTTTTCTTTCTTTTTTTAAATATATTTTATTATTTGAGCTAGAAAGTCCAATTAAGCATAACTCTTGTTGCTTCAATAAAATTTGACTTTTTCAGAATTACTACATTTTAGAATGGGTAGGGAAAAAAAGAAAACTTTTATCTTATGCTGCAGAGAAGAAAAGCTCTATAAAACCTTTTAAGACACCAATCAATTAATGAGATCTTAAAAATTTTAAATTATGTTCAACAAATGAGACTTATCATGAGTTTTATGAATGTTGCTTTAGCTATGAAATAAAATTTTATGATTTAACTAAAAGATTGTTCTTTTGTAGTAAAAAAAAACTATTTTTGTACAATTTTAATTCAATATTTTTTCATTTTATTTCAATATTATGCACATATTTAGCACATTCTAATTATTTAACAATTAAAGAAATTTGTAAGTAAAATTAGTGTTATAAATCATAACATATATTTGTTTAAAAAAAAAAATTTTTTTTTTCATTAAATAAAATCATCGATGAAATAAAAAAAATTTTGAAAAGAAAAAGTATTTTATAAACATTTTTAATTATAAATATTCTAAGAATTAAATAAAAAACCTAATTTTACCATCAATGATACAGGTACAATATTCTTTCAACGTATCATCTGCTGACAGTTTTCTCAACATACACTTGCCTCACACTAATATTTAAGCGAGACTTATCAATGTAGTTTTTAAAAGGTGACCACTCTTTATCTTCTGAGTCATAGTATCTAAAAGTAGTATCCTCCTGTATGATACAAGGCACAGCATGAAAAGCAAGTCTTGATTCTCCAGACATGATAACAATATCACCACTCCTTAAAAAAATGGCAGTTGGGACTTTAAATTTATTGAGAGCACCAATTAAAAATATTCCTGTTTGACCAAAACTAAAAGATATTATGGGTGCGTGAACATTTTCTTCAGAATGGTCATTATGTATACCCAGGCTAGATTTCATATTGTAATAATTAACAATAGCTGCTTCAGGATTATAATTTTTAAAACCTAAACATTCCGCTACATGCTCTGATAACTGCTTTAAACATTTCGGAAAATCAGATTTATGATCCGGATTGTATATTTTTGTATCCCAATTATGATGATAGCCAAGTGTAGTCCAGCAAAGTTTACTTAAATAGCTTTTTTCAATTAAATTACTTCCTTGTGACAGAGACCATATGTCGTCAATGTTTGAGTGATGAAGGTCTAAATTCGTAACAGATGGTTTTCGTGGGTATAGTTCAAGACATTTTCGAATCCACGTCTGTTGTCCTTTGATAAAAAAAGGATTCTTTAAATATAAAAATCCTTTATGATCTTTTAATGAATACGATTCCCATGATTTATGATCTTTTAAACCAAGATCTTGGCATAAAATACAACATTCTGAGTTTATCTTTGAGTCAAAAAAGTTATTTGTTTTTGTGACCGATAGGTTTAATATGTCTGCATCAAAATCTATAACTTTTCCATACTGCGGGGGAGGGATTTTTCTTTTATAGTATTTAAATTCCTCTTTGAAACAATCTCTCTCTGTCATTATAAGAAAATACCTATTTTGAACACTTTTAATCACCGATTTTACGTGAATTAGCTATTTATTAGGCCGAAAAAGCAATCATTTATGCACGATGGACTAAATAAATAAACAAATGACGAAATGAAAAAAAGGGTTGCCAATTTAACTTTATTTTTAGTTAGTTTAATGTAAATTATTTGTAGTTTCATCAAAGTTCCAAAGTATGATCATGGAGCTTTTGTGACATAACAAGTACTTTCATTTTATTTTATTGAGATTACATACATTTGCTGACTTGTGTGCTCAATATAGGCTTATAAGTCATTGTCAAGTAGAAAATACAGATAGAACAATACAGAGAAAGACATCACAAAGAATACATCCAGGGTTACGGTGGGATTCGAACCCGCTACCTCCACGCTTAACAGAGCGTTTGGACCGGCGATACCGCTCGGCCAGGGAGGCCCCGTACTTTCATATTTTACTATATAAGCTGTAAGCCGATTTTTTAATCTACACAAGCTTCCAAATAAGATTATTAACTGCTCAAACAGTAAAAAACCAAATATTTATATAGAAATTTGTCTTAAAATTATTGAAAAAATGATAAAATTACTTTGGAAAAACTTTTTCCAGTTTTACACTAAACAACAGATGCAATTGATGTGTGTGTTATAGCCTATTTGTAATTGTTCAAAATAATTTTTCTTTGTTAAATTATATTCCTATAGATAGCAAGTTTAAATGTTGCATATAAACTTCGTTTTTAGTACTCGAATCAAAGTGAAGCTTAACAGAATGGCAACTTTTTTAAGGGTGTTAAAAATAGATATTACCTCTGAAAAAATTGAATTATTTATCTAAGCTTGAATTTTTTCAAATGTTTCTACTCTGATACTGACTCTAAAGTACATAATTTGCCTTTATTTTTTGGGAGGTTTCTGTAACTGTACCAAAATAATTGTCAAGATTAGGTAATTTCTATGCAGTAACTGTGAAAAGCTACAAAAAAACATGCAATTCTTAAGGAGGAGTGCCCTTTAAAAAGAGGACCAACTCTAAGTGCATAGCTTAATTATTTATTTATTTTTTTTAAATATTTTCATGCTTGAAATCTCCTTGATGGTTATAGTTAGGGCGAACAAGTACCATGTGTTAATATTAAAAGAATTATTCTTCTATAATTAGTTACAGGAAATGTTATATGATTACACATTAATTTATTAACAATTAGGGTTTTTTAAATATCATTATCATTACTTAAAATTTAGGTTAGAAGATGTTATTTTAATATGATAAGAGAATTCATTTTGTTCTATGCTTGCTGTTGTTGTTCATTTACGTCACACTAGAGCTGCAGAATGGGCTATTGGCGATGGTCTGGGAAACATCCCTGAGGATGATCCGAAGACATGCCATCACAATTTTGATCCTCTGCAGAGGAGATGGCACCTTTGCTTTGGTAGCCGATGACCTGCATGCGAAGTTGAGCACTTTACGGTAGAACAGTTTAAGCAGTAACAGTAAGAGCATGCTTGCAAAGCCTAATAGTTGAAAATTCCTTTTTTGGTAGTGATTAGGCCAAAATACTACAGACCAATTCTTGTATTCGCAATAAATTAAGAATATATATTGGCATAGTGGCTTGTTTCAAGGTCACTTCAAATTTTCAGTTCACTCCATTCAGTGTTGCGTATTTTAGAACTTAGTTTGCTACTGCATGATAGTTGCCAAAATTTGGCAAAAAAGTTTTGGTGCTGAATCGGATCTGATACAAAAATCCTATGACTTAATTATTTTCTTTGAACTATTGTATAAAAGCAAGAATGAAATGAAAAATATCTTAATACTATGCTACTTTTCTTTTCTGTTCTTTTATACCTATGAAAATCAAAACGTGCATTTTTATACTTTAAAATAAAATTATATATTTCCTTTTATGTGAAGAAATTTTAATTATTAAAGTGATTAACTAGCTATGCACACTAATTTGTTAAATAACTACAAAGAAAAGTCTCCAGAATGGTCTGGAGGTTGACAAGTCCGAAAAAATAGATTTTTCCTGATAATAAGTCTTTCAGGTAAATAAATATCATAACATGCATTATTGAAGGGGGGAAGAGTAACAAATGGAGGATAAATAACATCAATTAGATTCAGCAACATTGTCTTATATGTTAAATAAATGAAAGTGAGCATAGGATAATTTGAGTTTTCTCTTTTATGAATAAAAATTCCTTACTCTGTATTTTTTTTTTTTTTTNTGTATTTTTTTTTTTTTTTTTTATGATGTTAATAATTAGCAGTGCAGATAATAAAATAAAAGTAATAAATGATTAGGCTTTTTTTTCTGGAAAAAAGCCTCATGTTCTCAAAGTAAATTAATCCAATTTAAATAAAAATAATATGTAAAACATGGAATAGAATTGAGTAGATTTTGTTAATAAAAACATTTATAATTTACAGGGAAACAAGGCTTGTATGCTGGTGTTTTTGTCAAACACAATTAATATTCACAATCTCTTTGATTTACTCCCAATTTTTTGTTTATTGACTCCTCTTATCTTTTCAACAATTTATTTATTATTCTTATTAAAGAAGAATAAGGTTTTGGAAAAGAAGCAAAAAGAAAAGAATTATTAATATCTTTTTTAACCCACTGACGATTCTGCATGTAAAAAGTCATATTTTTACCTGCTGTTTTCTCCTCATAGCAAAACCGGTTTTTCTATGTTATTAGATAGGGAAATAATGTATTGGGGAGAAACATTCTCCCATTTTCACCCATTTACTGAACCATGAGTGGTTTAACAGATTACAAACATAGAAAAAAAAATAAGAAAAAGAGATTTATTATTTCTATTGCAAAAAAGTGTCCTGTAAATAGACGTTTCCTCTGGTAAACAGATATGGGACTTTGTATATCTGACACTACTAATAGCTTAGCCTATTTATGTCTTTTTAAGAATGCAGTAACGAGAACCTTATTAACAAATGTCTATAACTTCAGTAGACTATTGATCTTGAAACTTTAAAATTTTTATTGACTTCTGAGTATATATTTTTTTAAATTTACCTTGGAGTATGTAAAACAAAAAATATATAAGGAGTAAATTTATGTAAAGCAAAAAATATATAAGGAGTAAATTTATGTAAAGCAAAAAACATATAAATAATTATACTAAAGGACCTAAAACTATTAATTTTTTGCATAAACATTTAATGACTGAGTAAGCATTAATAATAACTCAATTAGTAAAGTTTCTCTTGTTTATATTTTGATAAAATTTATCTACTTCAACTTGATTAAGCTTAGGGTCTATTCGTAGTAATAATTTTTTTTTTTAAATATTGCCATAATGGAAAGATATTCCTTTCACTATAATTTCAATTAATTATTAAATTTAAATGAACCAGTTAAGTATAAATTTCCAAAACATTTCTAACATACTAACAACCTTTTAAAAAAATGATTTAAAAAACTTAAAAGTTCAAAATTTTAGGCTAGGATATTTGTGGGCCTTTGAAATGTGAGGTCCTGAAAAAGTGTCCAATCTGTCCTTGTTATAATCAGACCCAACTTTTTCATATTTATTGAACAAATCTACCACAAGACATGTTTTTTTCCATTCCTCTTAATATATGAAGAATTTTTTATTTGACAAATTGTTAAATAAAAAATATGTCGAAAAATTTTAATCATTCGTTTTTTTTTAATCTATCGAGATCTTATTTTATGTTTATACTAAGCATGATAAGACTTAACTAAACAAAATACAATCTTCAACTAAAATGATAAAAGCTAGAAAATGAACATAAGAGAAACAAATAAAATAACAGTAATAATGTCCTGCAATTTTATTGATGGTTAAAAATCCTACCATTTTAAAAATAAATACTATAAGAACATTATGCCGGAAAAAACATACACATACTTAAAATATATATATATATATATATATACATACATACATACATACATACATACATGTATATAAGTTCAAAATGTAGAGAAAACATGAAAAAAATTACAGAACAATGAAAAAACGAAAAAAGAAAGAAAAAATTTTATTCTCTTCATTTTTTTTCTTCTTGTCCTTTTTTTATTTATTGAGGAAGTCGGCCACTAAAAGTGGGTTTTCTAGAATGTCCTTCTTGTCCAGTCCAGGATATGTTGAGGAGAAGCCTGCATGTTGTGGCACCTGGGGCAGTTTGATAAGATTTTAACACTACCCTTGAAAGAAAGAGACTTAAGGTGGCTGCTGGTAAGCGCCATCTGATCCTTGCGGTTGCATCGAATGTCATTAATTTATTTATTATGCTAGATATATATATGTATATAATATATATAGAGTGAAATGTCTGTTAAGCTAGCACCATAAATTGTTTTTAGCATAATTGCAATGATATATAAATAATCTATAATAACTATTCAAACTTAAAATTATAGTATTAACATTACAAAAAAGAAAAAAATAGATGAAGTTGGATGAATGATCTTTTTCGGAAAATATCAATTAAGTATCAGTTTCTACATTATCACTCTCCACATCATTATTTGTGACCATTTCAACAATTTTTCCCATATTTGAATCATTCTTTCTACATTCAATATTCTCATCAATGTTTAAAAATAATCACTTTTGATAACACTTTTCCATTTTCACACCATTTATATATAAGTGCAGTGTGAAAAATAAGTAAATAAATGGACCTCCCTAAATAACTTTCAGGCGTCAGATCGTCTTGTTCTACAACTCAATCTTAATGGTTCAAAAGGATGATCTCAAATATGCTGATTTATTTGTGCAGAAAATATTTTAAGTTTCGAAAATCAGACACAAAATCTTAAGTACTTTCTCTAAATAGACATGCCTTTTTTGACGAATTCGGATTTCTTACCCTCAAAACATAGGGGATAGCCGCAATCTGGTAAATGTGGTTCTAATAGTTTGCTCAGAAGAGCAGTCCAAAATTTTACTTTTTGCATATTTACTATTATCTTGAACTTTTTAAGGGAATTGAAAATTTGTTACGCACAGTTGTAAAATTAATTTATCCAAAGATAATTCCATGCAAAATATACCTTTTAATAAATATTTATTTTTTAATATAATAATAGCCAAAAAAAATTTTAATTTGTAAGGTATAGAAATTGTTACATAATTCTAAGGAATACAATTTTGTATTTTGGCATTTAAAATTACATTCTTTGAAATGATATAAAAATTTATATACCTTACGTCTCAAAATTTTTCGGTTTGTTATTAAATTAAATACAATAAAAGTGAGAAATATTTACTAAAAGTTATATTTTACGTGGGATTATCTTTTTTTTATTGTGTGTATTTCTTGAAAAATTTTAAAAATTGTCAAAAGCTGAGGGTGTTTCTTCCATTATTGTGGGATTGTGTATATATGCACTCATACTACTTCATTGAAAATCTTGAAATTATGTGAAAAACTGTATTAAGAAATTATTTTTAAAGCATTAAAAACATTTATTGTAAAAAATATAAAATTAATCAATTTACTTCCTTAAGGTATTCGACCGCAGCTAAGGAGCCTGTTGTGAAAGGGACCATTGCCAAAAAAATACCAACCTTTGTTAAGTTACAAAAGGACAAAACTTATTCCTGGTGTTCTTGTGGTTTAAGTAAGAAACAGGTAAATTTCGATTTTTCATAAGTTTGGTTTATATGTTTTTAATTGGGTATATTGTTAGTTGCCTTTGTTAATTGGTTAATTTTTATTTAAGTAATTTTACTTATATTGAAAGCACTGGAAATTAAAATTGCACCTTGGTCTTTTAAAAGGGTTTTTTTTTTCTATCTATTCAAATCTTGAGTTTTCAAATTATAGTATTTTATTTTTCCAAAAATGTTTCTTTATTCTTATTATTTTATTTGTTGATACATAAATGTTTATAATATGCATGTGTTTATATTTAAATTCTGTAAAAAAAAATTTATGTTTATGATATTTTCAGTTTTCCAGCAAATTATGGAAGTTGATTCAGAAACTAATTTTTAAAATTGTAATTTTCTATTTAATATTAATGTGTTTTTAGTCAATGCTTATTAGCTGTTTGATAGGAATTTATAACTAAATAATTGTAATAGATTTGAGGCACGTGGGGTACATTGTGCCCAAAAAGAAGAAAATTGGTTTTTAAATAAAATAATGTGAAATCACCAGCTAGCCATAATATTTAAGTTAAATTTAATATTTAAAGAAAGTTACATAATAATTAATTAGTAATAAACATCAAAATGGTAGAGTACGGCACATCCACAGCGACATTCACTAAGCCATATGTAAAGCAGACTGCGAGGGAAGAAGAGTTTTTCTCCCTGCATTCCAGGGTTGCCACAGTCAAGTCCTCGGCCAATTGGCGGTCTTATCATATGAGCTATTGCCCATTTGGCGTCGCCGCCGCACACTCCCTTAGCAGTGTCAAAGAAAGGTGACGTAACGTCGGGGTGGGGGGTCGATTGCACCACCCGACCACAACGAGTTGTTTGTTTGTCCGTTTTAACACTGGAACTTGTCAAAACTTTAGGTGTTTCGGCCAGAAATGCTGGTTTGAGCCTATCAATCGAGATTGTCTGTCTTTTCCCTTTAACGCAGCTCAAAAGTAATTTCATGTCGTTTAAGGACTTTGAACGGTCCGTTATACGGCACTTGGAGGGGTTTCCTGACCCCGTCATGGCGCACAAACACATAAGACGTTACTTTGAGTCCTGGGTGAATAAACGTAGTTCTTGACCATGACTGGAAGTTGGTACCGGGCGTACGCAGGCAAAGTATCGTCTAAGATCCTCCAGGACTTGCTTGGGCGAAGACTCTGCAGGAGTGGGATCAAAGAATTCACCTGGAAGGCGTATGCTCTTTTCATAGACGAGCTCAGCAGTTGTCGCTTCAATGTCCTCTTTGAACACCGAGCGAAAACCCAACAATATCGTTGGAAGGGCGGATGCCCATTGGTCAGTGTTGTAGGCTTTTAAGCTTGCTTTTAAGGAACGATGAAATCCTTCAATTACTCCATTTGATTGCGGGTTATAAGGAGAAGTTCGAATTTTCTTTATTACCAACAGCTGTGAAAGTTCACGAAGCAGTCCGCTTTCGAATTGCCGTCCTTGGTCTGTTGTAATAACAGTTGGACAACCAAATCTCGTTATCCATTGGTTATAAAAAGTCTGCGCTATGGTATTAACTGTTATATCTGGTATTGGTACCGCCTCAGGCCATCTTGTATTTCGATCTATCATTGTTAAACAATAGTAATTACCATGAGAAGGAGAAAGAGGGCCAACGAGGTCGAGATAGACGTGATCGAACCTCTGCGACTGGTCTGAAAATTTCCCTAACGGTGTTTTAGTGTGTCGCGTTGTCTTGGACTTTTGGCAAGGAATACATTGCCGAGCCCAGTTCACGCAATCTTTTCGGATGGAATGCCAAACAAACCGAGAACATATTAGCTTAGAAGTCACGCAGTACCCGTTGATAAGTCGCAGTAAATAGGTATATCACAATGTGATAAGGTAATTTTTTTCAATTGCAAGACTTCAGAATTTTCCGGCAAATTTTTCAATTCCGAATCGGTTCGCTGCGCTTTAGCTAGACCTTCGTAATCTACCGGGCTGGGCATGCTTATACTCTCGATTCGCGAAAGCACATTAGCGGCAATATTCTCGGATCCTTTTATGTGGCGTATATCAGATGTGAACTGAGATATGAAATCTAATTGTCTAGATTGTCGTGGTGAATATTTAACTTGGCGCTGACTGAGTGCGAATGTCAATGGTTTATGATCGGTTAGCAATGAAAAATTCTGCTCTTCTAACATATGCCTAAAGTGCTTAATTGCCTCATATGCTGCCAATAGCTCTCGGTCATAGGCGCTGTAATTTCTTTCTGTTTACGAGAGTTTTCTGGAAAAAAATGCGAGGGGTTGCAAATTTTCGTTAACTAGTTGTGACATTGCCCCGCCAATTGCAAAATCTGACCCGTCGACTTGTAAAATTAATTGCGCGTCTTTCGTAGGGTGAGCTAAAAGAACTGCGTTCGCAACTAATATTTTGCAATTTTTAAATTCGTCTTGCACTGCTGTTGACAAAACAAGCTTCGTTTTATCGTTTTTCTTTGTTCCCTTTAAGTAAGACGTTAAATGTATCTGATTTTGGGCTACATTAGGTAAAAATCTACGGTAAAAATTTAAGAATCCTAAAAATCTCTGAAGATCTTTAATTGAATCATTAATTTAATTTATTTAATTAAGTGGAAAATTAAGGATCAGCTCGACTTTGTTCGGTAGGGGTTTAGTTCCATTTTCATTAAGTGTCCTAAAAAAGAAATTTCGGTAACGCCAAAAACACATTTAGCCACATTAATTGTCAGACCATACGAGTTTAATCTTTCAAAAACAATATGTAAGTGAGCTTTATGCTCGTCATCTGTTACACTAAATATCAAAATATCTTCCAGGTACACGTATCAAAATTTTAAGTCGCCAAAAACTTCATTCATAAACCTTTGGAAGGTTTGCGCAGCACCACAAAGGCCAAAATTTAAAAACGGAAATTCGAAAAGACCGAATGGTGTGCAGACCGCAGTTTTCGGAATATGGTCTGGGTGTACCATAATGTGATGATAAACACGAACGATATCGATTTTTGAATAAATTTTCCTTCCGCTCAGCGTATTATTAAAATCTTGCAAATGAGGGATAGGATAACGATCCAGCTCTGTACGAGCATTTAATTGACGATGGGCGTATGTCACCAGAGCTTTTTGAAACGACATGAATAGGTGATGACCACGCCGATTTTTATGGTCGGCAAATACCCTGCTCAATCATGAATTGAAATTCTTTATTTACCTCTTCATATAATTTAGGGCTTAATCATCGTGGTTTGCTGTGTACGGGAGATCCATTCGTGGTTAACATTACTTACAGTGGTTAACATTACTTAAATTAGCTTTCACTTTTAATAGATCCGGAAATTCTTTAACGATATTGAGATATGGTGAATCCTCAGCGATAAGCTTTACCGAATAGTAATTGACTCGATTAGAAACTGAACCAGTGCTGGATAATTTTGTAAAATGGATATCTAGTTCTTTCGTGAGATAGACGCTCAACCTGCTTACTCAAAGCAGCCATTTCGCTACGTAAAGCCCCAAGCTCTCCTAACGGAGAGGAAATATTGTTGGGGTTGGGGGGTATGCAGGAGTAGATTGCCCCACAGTAAACACGTGATTATTTGAGGATGTGCGCACTTCTGAAATTTTGTCGGCCATATTCGCCAAATTATCGAGTGATTCGAAGCTGATAGATAATATCGCTTGCATTTCGGATGGCAATCTTTGCAGCCATAACGTTTTCAGAAATTCATCTGTAATACAGTTCCCTCCTAATTCTCTAATTTTTCGTAGCAGATGAGACGGTTTGTCATCTCCTAAATGGAGTTCGGAAATTAGTCTGCGGATTTGTTCATGCTCTGAATCTGAAAATGCAGTTATTATTCTGGCTTCTAAGGCCGCGTACTTATCTAATGCGGGAGGGTTAAATAAAATGTCGGAAACATCCGATAACGTTTCAGGATCAATAGAAGAAATGAGATGATTGTACTTAGTGATATCACTATTAATTTTAGCGAGGGCTAAATTACTTTCTACTTGAATAAACCACAGTTTAACATTATTTTTCCACAACGGCGGAATTTTAACCGCAACATGCGACACTTGAGACTCTGTAGTCAGTATGGCAGAGTCGGTATTTGTGTGATCCTCTGACCCGAGCATTTTTTAAGAAATATAAGCATAAATTGATAACTGAAAACACTTCAATTATGCCTTACTGTCAAATGAAATTTATAATGCTTTAAATAATGTTATTGAATCATAATAGAAATTTAAAAGTAGCTTAATAATCCGTTGTCGGATTGAAACCAAACAGGTAAGGGGAAGTTTTAATAATGCATAAATAACCAAAAATTAAAGCAATAAATAATAATAATAAAATAGAGCATAACGCAATTACAGACCAATCGCAGATAGGAAAAAATAATCGATCACATACCTGTAAATTTCCGCAATGAAAAGATAATCCTCATGTGTATCCATGTGCATATAATTGAAAATAGAAAGAAAATAAATAGAGGATAGCGATTAAATTTCATTACGTAATGTATTTTTATAAAAATTAGGCATAGCTGTTGCGTTTAAAGAAAGATTATGACAGATTGAGTAAAAAAATAAGAGGAAGCGAGAACAGAATTAAGGGTCACCAATGAGGCACGTGGGGTACATCGTGCCCAAAAAGAAGAAAATAGGTTTTTAAATAAAATAATGTGAAATCACCAGTTAGCCATAATATTTAAGTTGAATTTAACATTTAAAAAAAGTTACATAATAATTCATTAATTAGTAATCAACATCAAAATGGTAGAGTACGGCACATCCACAGCGACATTCACTGAGCCATATGTGAAGCAGACTGCGAGGGAAGAAGAGTTTTTCTCCCTGCATTCCAGGGTTGCCACAGTCAAGTCCTCCGCCAATTGGCGGTCTTATCATATGAGCTATTGCCCATTTGGCGGTGCCGCCGCAGATTCTATACAACCACATTAATCATAATTTGTATAATTATTTATTTTTTTTTGTTTATTAGTTCAAAATTCAAATATCTCAAATAGGAACTTTTTTGTCATAAATTTTGCTGAAAAAGATTTAAAAATTTTAAAAAAAGGAACTACTTTAATGTTTATTTATTTATTTTTTTACTCTTTTAGTTCTATCTGACATACAGTAGATAAGTAACTAAGCTTCTCATTGTATGGGACTAGTAATAATTTATTATATGTGGATTTGATTATTAATTTTATTCTTGACCGTGTTTTGTATTCTTAACTGTAGGGGGCAGTATTCAACGAAGTTATTTCAACTTCCGATCGAAGATTCGCTTGTATTAATCTCTATTTTTATTTATTTTTTTTACATCCTCTTTCAACCAATTTTTTAACATAATTATTTATTTTCGATTTCATTTGTAAGTGGTGACAGTTGTTCTACTTTCGGATGCATTATGCACAGAAGCGCTAATTTGTTATCTGAAATTAAGATTTTTAAATTCCCTAAACACCCATCATGCCAAATTCAATGGAGTAATGCATTAAAGAGGAAGGACTAGACTCCGTCAGATCATAGTGTAACTTGCTGTGTACACTTTTCAGAAGGTATGTATACATTCAAAAATATGTTAGCGATTAAGTAGAATAAGTTTCTAATGAAGTGAAACTCCTACTACATAGTGATGCACAGAAGTTTACAAAACTTTCTCATTTCTAAATTGTTTGCCTTACTTTTATGTTGACTCAGTTACTGGTAGCATTAATGTCTTTTTTTATAGTTATGATCTATTTATTTCTCTGTTTATGAAGCTTGTCAACTTGATAGCAATCATGTTGTTATTATTTAGCATAATGACAAAAGTGTTTCTACAAAGTTTAAGTTTTTTTTTTCCTTCTTATACAATAACACGACTCAAAAAATTCAAAACAGCAGAGTAAAGCGAAATTGGGACGTCAAAAAAAAAGAAAAATAGTCACTTTCTGGTATGATATCAGAGGAGGATAGTGAATACGTATGTGTATGTGACTTGACTCCAGCTTTATTTTTTTCTTTGCAGCCATTCTGTGATGGTTCACATAAGAATGACCCTAAACAGCTGAAGCCTATTCGCTTCACAGTGGAAAAAGATGGAAAATACCTGTTGTGTCGATGCAAGCAGACAAATAATCGACCTTATTGTGACTTAAGTCATGTTAAAACCTGTAAGTTACTTTTATAATAGCAGCATTGGTTTCCAAATAAGCTCAAATAAAAATATGCCTTACTTAGAGAAACCTAAAATTGTCAGACTATTTGATTTTAGGAAAAAAATCAGGGAATAAAAGAGCCAAACGAGAAAATTCTTGCTGCAAACCTGGAAAATAGCCACTTTCAAAATTAACTGTAACAATAAATAGCCTATGAAGTTCAAAATAAATAAGTTTTAACATTTACTTTCTTTATTTCTTGTCAAAATTCTGTAGCAACATTATTAAATTTTTGAACTATTTAAATTAGAATATTAAAAATTTGAAGTAAAATGAATATTTAAAAGAATTAGATTATAAATAGAGTAAAATTTTAAATAGAATAATATTTTAACAAAATAAAATTATTAAAATAAAATCATTTTTAAAAAATACTTGTTGTTCAACAATTTCTTGTTTCAATTTTTTTTAAATATAACCATATTTGCAGTTCTATAATCCTTTTTTTTTTTACAAATTAATCTTTCTGTTTATATTAATTTTATTTCTTAACCACAAGTTAGATGTTTATGGAGAACTGTATAAATCTAAGCACAGATATTGCTCGCAGTTAGAATTTGTGATCAGACTTCTGTGTATTGAGTATCTTCTTCAGAGGACATTTAAATATTAAATTTTAAAATTATGAATTTTACGTTTTCGAGACTTTTCGTTATTTATTTTGTTTCATAGAAAAAATTCGAAAGACAAATTAAGACCTGATATTATTTATCAAAAATAGTTATTAATTTTCAGAAAAACTTTTACCTATGCTTAAGGTGTTAATTGCCCTTTGAGTTAAGTTAAAAATTAGAAAAATTTCTGAATCGAGCATAAAAATCTTTTTTCAAAACCTACAAATATGTTATAAGCTTGTAGTTTAATAATAGTACGAAAAAATAAAACTCGTGTGAATAAAAAAGAATATTTCTTCTTCAAATGCACTACAGGCTAAACCAACTCAATAAGCTTCCTCCAATTCAACGGATGGTCAGCAAAGAATATTGACCTATAATGTCATAAGGCCGATTCCATCCCGTAAAAAACTCTCGGTTAGAGATCATAAAAGCAAAGAATGGATGGTGTTTTCAATAGGAATGTAAACAATAACAATCTCGAGCTCGGCACCTACTCTAGTTCCGGTTAAAAAGTTTGCAGCTACTTACTACATGTTATTCTGATAGGCGATGTTTTCAAACGGATAATTTTGTTTTCAATAAAAGAAATAAATTAGATAATTTGTGAGCTCAAATCTGCCGTATTTCATAAGATATTAATGTTATTATGTAATTCTGGGGAGTTTGGAGTGAAAATTTGTTTTAGTTACTTTGTTATTTATTATTAAAAAAGGTGAAATGGTTGCTAGATTTTGAATATCTCGCTTTTTTGGCAGTCTTGATTTGGCCTCTTTCTATTTGTTTATTACTGTTTGTTAGTGTTGGAAGCTGTGCACCATCTTACGTTAGTGTTAACACTTTTGGCATTGTAAACACAAGTATTGTTAGCATTGTAAACACAAGCAATAAAGTAATAAGTAATCAAATACATTGTTTGCAAGAATCTCAAAACACAATGATGCCAAATGGCTTTAAAATACAACGGAAACAGTAACCCAGAAATTTAGACAGTCCTGAGCTTGCAGCGTTCCCTAGTGTCGAAAACACCATCCATATTTATTAAAACTTTTATTGTGTTTCCAACGCTTGATGGCGGGGGGTTTGTCATTTCCGAAAAGTATTGCCATAGTTTTTTATGATGTTTTAAGAAGTTTTGATTATTATTCTGTAATATAAGGGGAAGAGATTTTTCTTATTTTTTGCTGATAAAGAGAAGGAATAAGTAATGCTTATGCAAGAATAAAAATTTACCTTTTATCGTAAAACGGAGTCGTTTGTAAATTAACATTAATACACTGGTGTGAAAAACTTAAGCAACTAGTGGTTTTTCGGCCACAGCTTCCCAACGAAGTATAAGATAGCTATGAAATTGCAGTATAATATGCACGTAATTCAGTAGAAAGATTATTTGTATGCAAATTATAGAAATAAAACGTCGTAGGTGATGTAACTGTGCGTAAGCCTTGTGGGTCGGCGCGCTCAGGTCAAAGCTGTGATAAAAGGATGAAGAGCACCGTAGTTAAAGACATTCGCTGCAAGTGCTAGTGATTTGTTTTGTGAAACATGTCTTCAAGAAATCATTTAGACGACTTTACTCGAGGAAGAATGATTGGGAAGCTTGAGGAGGGGCGTAGTGTGACCAGTGTCGCCGAAGAGTTCGGGATCAACAAAAGTGTTGTTTCTCGTGCTTGGAATGCCGTTAAAACTACTGGTACAGCTGTTCGGAAGGTTGGTGGTGACCGTCCAAGGAAAACAACACCAAGAGATGACCGTTACATTGTCCTCCAGGTGAAAAGAAACTGTTTTCAGTCAGCGAGCGCCATATCTCAGCAACTGTGCACAACCACAGGACGACAAGTATCAAGATTTACAGTAGCCAGACGCCTCCACAAAGGTGGCTTATTTGCTAGACGTCCTGAACGCTGCATACCTTTAAAAGTTAGCCATCGGCGGCACCGTTTAGAGTGGTGCAGAGAGCACGAAACTTGGACACCTCATCAATGGAGTCGCGTCCTCTTCACAGATGAGAGTCGTTTTAGTGCTACAAGCGATTCTCAACGTCAGTTGATCTGGAGAGAGGTTGGAGCTCGATTTCATCCCAATAACATCGCGGAAAGAGATCGTTACGGTGGTCCTGGAGTTGTCGTCTGGGGTGGCATTATGTTGAACGGGCGGACTGAGCTTCAGATCTTCGACCGAGGTTCTGTAACTGGAGACCGCTACTGCAGTGAGGTAATCCTACCCCATGTGCGTCTGTTCCGAGGGGCCATTGGACCAGACTTCATTTTTATGGATGACAATGCCCGGCCACACCGTACTGCTAATGTTCAAGAGCTACTGGAAAGTGAAGATATCACACGAATGGATTGGCTGCTTACTCTTCAGATCTAAATCCCATAGACAGGGTTGCCACAGGCTACTAAAATGCAACTATTTGCTACTATTTTCGACCTTATGGCCACTTTTTTTTCCTGAAAAGGTTAAAAAAGCAACTATTTTCTGGAATAGGCGACTATTATAGGAGACTTTTTTTACTCTTGGCGAAGTTTTTTCGCAAAAATGAACGTTACTTTTCAGAACGTTAATTAAAAAAAGCAAACTTTAAAGGCAAAAATAGCAACTAGTTTCAGGAATAGGCGACTATTAAGAGATTTTTTTTTCTCTTGATTCTTTTATTCTTGATTCTTATTCTTCTTTTCTATTAAGAGATTTTTTTTTTCTCTTGGCGAAGTTTTTTCGCAAAAATGAACGTTACTTTTCAGAACGTTAATAAAAGAAAGCAAACTTTTATACAATCATTTATTTCCAAAGAGCCATAAATTTAAATTTCCATTGGATTTAATAAAGTACTTCTTATGTTCTCTCTGAGGGGCAGTTTTGTTATTTTTAATAGTTTTTTCCTTCTATTAACATTCATATTCTATTGTAATTCGACTTTTATTTAGGTACCTATTTTCCAATATGTATACCTTTTATATTAATACAAAACTTTTTTTTAATTGGAGCATAGTTAGGACTGGGCGATAAATCGATGTATCGCGAAATATCGATTTAATGCATATATCAGTAGGTCGATGTAGTGACTTTCGTTTTAGGCGATGCATCAGAAATCTGATTTAAGCCACCGAAATTAGATTACAATCGCGGTTTAACAATTTAATATGCAAGGATCCTTGACTAGGCTAACGCTATTACCGCCGTAACGAAGACGATTTTGATTTCGTCTAGCTGCAGGGATGTAGTAGCGTTTTGCTATTAATATGATGTTCGTTTTGTGATGTTGAATGACGAAGAGCGAATTGAATCAGAACTCCCGGTTTCGTGCGAGGATCATCGTTGTAATATAGAACGCAATGCATAGTTTCTTTATGTCCATTTTTGTCTTTGGGATTTTGCGTTTTTTGAAGTTTATTTTGAATGGGACTTAAGTCATTTTGCGATAGTTGTGCATTTTATTTCGTCGGAAATAATTGTCGGGTTTCTTGCAAATTATTTTCAGTGAGACTTTTGCAGCGATCCTTTCGTTCTGCATTATTTCATACCATTTTTTTTTCTGTCTGGGTTTAACGATTCTTGTCAATTATTTTTAGTAGACCTACTTTTACTTTGCGATTGCATAATCGCTGTTATCTTAAATTTTTGTTCTGAACTCAATACATCAAATCATTGATTTTTTTCAATTGTTTTTTATTTTAAGCGATACAATTTAATAGGGGTATTTTGTATTTAACTTTGTTATAAAAAGTTAGTTTTTTTAAATTTATTAAATGTTGTTAAGTATAATAATTTGATTGTTTTTCAACCAATAAATGCTCAGTCATTTTTAATTATAAAAAAATTAAGACAAAGCTTACCTTTTTTTTAATTTGCTTTTATTTTTGAGAAAATGAAAACAAAGTTTTAAAAAAATTTGGCTATTAGTTAAAACAATTTTTTTTTAATTAAATAAAAAATTTAGTAATGTTTTGACGTTATTAATAATTTAGCATAGTACTTTAAGTATTTTTTTTAAATTTTTATTAAAATTCTTTCAATACTTGTTTGTTTTATAATTTGTTCGATAGTCAGTATCATTTTTAGACAAATAAATCTTTGGTCGATTTTATTTTCAAAAATGAAAATAATAATAAATAAGTTAAATTATTTTTACATTTATTAAGTACAGAATTTGACCATTAGTTAATACTACTTTTTATTATTTTAAATAAACAAATAAAAAAGGGGCTAATGATGTTTCAAAAGCATGTTTTTTTTTTCAACAAATAATAAAAAATAAAAAAAATTTCTAAAGTAAACATTTCTTTGGTTTGTTTTCCACTTTCGTTTTTTTTCTTCTTTTAATTTTTAATGCATGTATGTAAAATAATTTGTTACAGTATTATTATTTTTAAACCAATAAATCTTAAATCATTTTAATTTAAGAAAAATGAAATAAAGCTTGGGTTTGCTTTTACTTAGACTTCTTTATTAATTTAATTGAAAAAATTGAGCAATGATATTGATGTCATAGTAAAATATGTTTAGAATTAATCTTTTCTTTTGTACTAGATTTATTTCTTTTTATTTGTTTTTGATTGATTTAAAGATTTCCCATAGGTAATTTTTGAACAAATGCTAAATTGCGATACATCACTATATCGTGATGTTTAACTGACGATGTATCACGATTTGAAATTTCTGACATCACCCAGTCCTAATAATAGTATTTGACAATTAAGCTATAATTTTAGTTATTTGGTTACTATTTTTGATAAATTTTTGTTCCTGTTCAGGCAACTATTTTCATAGTTTTAGGCAACTATTTTCATGTTTGAGGCTACTAAAAGCAACTATTTTTGTTCATTTTTTACTGTGGCAACCCTGCATAGAGCATGTGTGGGACGCATTAGGGAGACGTCTTGCGACACGACAGTATCCTCCTGGTAACACCCATCAGCTGAAAGATGCGTTAAAGGAGGAATAAAGACGTTTACCCCAAGAACTCCTGGGTAATCTGGTGCTTAGCATGGAGAGACGATGCCAAGCAACAATTACAGTAAGGGGAGGGCATATCCCATACTAGGGAACATCTACCAGTTGTACTTACGCTTCTTCAGGCAATCATGTGTAACGCCACTATACGTCAAATAAAGCCTTTTTTTGTTCCATACCCTACTTTAAGCTTTATATTCATTTCTGCGCCATTATTCTTTTACCATCGTTTAAGTACAAAATAATGTACATCATATTCAAATTTCATGTCAATCGGATGATTTCTTGTAGAGTTATGACAAAAAACGCACTTGTTGCTTAAGTTTTGCACACCAGTGTAGAACATTGCTGGAAAGACTTTATATGTGTCTGATTTCGCAAATTAATAGTTAGTACTAATTATGTAGCATATTTGAGGTCACCCCTGGAACTATAAAGAATGACACTTAGTACATGAAAATCCGATCAGTAGAAGAAGAGGAGTTATTCAAGAGATCTTTTTTTTTGTGTATTGTATATAGTGTTTAGACCAGGGATGGGAACCAATGGCACGCGTGCCATTTATGGCACCCGACACAATATTTCGGGCACGTCACCGATCACATTTGTTATTACACAAATGGTATTACACTATGAAGCATATGTAACAATTAAATTAAAATTCACAAAAAACGTACAAAATAATGAACAATTATTAATAAAAAATTAACAAATAATGTTAAAAAAAAACAATTAATAACCATAAAAAACAAGCTAACAATAAATAACTAGCAAAAAAATTAACAGTCCTGCTTAAACTAACATCTTACAACCTAATATAAGTTATTTGTCATCTAATCTGCAACAACAGAAGTCACACTGATGTTACTTTAAGTTGAATTACGCCGTATAACTGAGACATTGCAAAAAAATTTTTTCAATGTAAATAAGGAGTTTTGTGTTGGTAGTATTTAGTATTATTATTTTCCCAATAATCACGAAGTCAAAATTATTTGACGGCACGTCTATGACCTCATCAGGCAATTTTTTAGAAAAAATGGCACGTTGGTTTATAAAGGTTCGCCACCCCTGGTTTAGACCATTAGAAATAATTGGTTTAGAGCTGATTGTTACCACTTGTTGTAAATTTTCTTTCTTTCTTTTAGTTATTCCTGAAAGTATCAGAAAAATGATGAACATTAAATTGTAAGTGGCAGCAGTTGCTTTAGTTTATGAAACTTTGTAATTTTGTTGAAATTCATGTAAAAATCTACTAAGTTTGTTGTTAGAAAATAAAATTTCTAGATATTTGTATCGTTTTATTTTTTACTTGTTCTAATTTAAAACTATTTTTGAATCTAATAAAAATGTATGCTTGGTCTTATATTCAATTAGAAGATTCGGCAACATATGAAAAGCGAACTATCTACGAAGTACACACACACGCAAGTCAACTCAATAAAAAAATTTTAAATAATTTTTATTTATAGCTAAAATCCTAAAAATGCAATTACATTATTTTAAACAGCTGTTAGTTTCGAGTAAGACATATTTTGATAGTTTTCTTCAGGGAGATAAATAAATGAATCAAAATTCTGTTAGATTCTTTTAACGCAATTAATAGACTGAAAAGATTCATTTTTCTAAAACAATAAAAAAGATTCATTTTTTTTTCTTCAAAAATGCGTTGTTGTTTTTTTTTTTGTTTTTTTTTGTGAAGGCTTGTACTTGAATCAGCAACTCTCTAACTTATAAAGTTTGGTTGAAAAAGAAAATTATGATAAAAGCAAATAGCTACAGAAATGCTTATTTTATTTTATTTTTTTATGGCCAAAATTCCCACGTGTGTCATAGCGAAAATAAAAATATGAGTTAAGAGCTACAAAAAAGACTAATCTGTTAAATAAAAACACTGAAAATTTAAAAAAAAAAATTTTTTTGAAAAAAATTATTTTAAATATATACTGATTCTTTCATTGCTTTTGAGGATGAACATTCATTTAGGAAATTTAAGATTATATATTAAAAAAGTAAAATTTTATTCAATAAATTAAAGAAATTTCCTTATCAAAAATATAAGCTCATAACGTCTGTGTGATTGTTTCATAATTCCTCTAAACCATTGGTTCTCAACGGGGGCGATACCGCCCCCCTGGGGTCGTTTGGAGTATGTTGAGGGGCGGTGAACTTGTTTTGGGCGGTAGGGGGTGTTGGATATGTTTTGGGCGGTAGGGGGGCGATGAGCATGTTTTGTCATTATAATTCAATTTTAAAACAAAAAAAGCTATTAAATTAAGATTTATTTAATAAATAAAATTAATATTAAAGAAAAAAAAGATTAAATTAATATAATAAATAAAGATTATCCGATACACCATTTGTACCATCAATAAAACAAACTTATACAACTCCTATTCTCCGATCCGAGTCAACACAGTTTAGCGCATGAGTCAGTAGTTCTTGCCTCTGACTCATTCAAGTCATTTGGTGGAAATTGAAGTGCAGATCAGTATGAATTTTTGATTTGACACATATTTCTTATGATGATTTTCGTTAGCTTCCGCACAGTTTTCTCTCTAGTTTCGATTAGATCTCATAGTTTACTTGGCCAGGTACGTGCGCGAATTAGTTTTTATCATAAATTATTTATTAATTTTGAGAAATAGTTGATTTTCTTTTATGCTTTGCATTTTGCTGCCACCAACAATGTCGGTTAACAAAAAGAAGTATCATCAATACAGTGCCACGTTCTTGAAGTTGGGATTTGTTCAATCATTGTTGAACTCTCAACTACCCATGTGTTTACTTTGTACCCATATGTTTACTTTGTGTTAAGTTTTATCTAATGAGGTAATGAAATCTTGTTAGCAGGAGCATTTGAAAAAAAAAACGCAACCTGACAAACAAAATAAAGATTTGTCATTTTTCATGAACATCTTTTTCCATGTTCCAACCTCATCACAAAAATGCGACGATGGTTTGATAGCTTCTTATAATATATCAAAATTTATTGCTAAATCTGGGAAAGCTCATACCATCGGAACAGAATTGATACTGCCGGTTTAGAAATAGTTTTACACCATCTAGCTGCATCCACTGTGATAAAAAAAAATATCACATAAGCAACGATACAGTGCAGCGACGAAATGATGAGACGGCAGAAGACGTTGAAATTTCTTTAAGCAAACTTTTGATATTCAACGAATTTTCCCTTCAAGTTGATGAATCAACCTTGCCAGGTAATGTAGGCTCAACTGTAGGCATAGGTCCGGTTTGTAAAGATAGGAAAAAATATTCAAGATATGCTTTTTGCAAGAAGCTTGATTGTAGATATCAAAAGTAAATCTATTTTTAATACTGTCAAAGACCATTTTAAAGAGAAAAACATTCCTCTTGTGAATATTATGTCTATTGCCCCTGATAGGCTCCTGCAATGGGGGCCGACATCGCCCTTTTGGAAAGATAGGTACCAGATATTTTTAGCCGTTCACTGCGTGATTCACAGATAGCATTTTGTAGGAAAAAATCTCAGCGACCGTTTGCATAAATCATTGCAATATGCCATGTCTGCTATGAGCAAAATTCACAGTAATGCTCTCTACGATCGATTATTCAGACAGCTGTGTAAGAAGAACAATGAAGAATTCAATCGCTTGCTACTATACACCGAGATTCGCTGGTTTTCCAAAAGCTTCTGTCTCAATAGGCATTGGAATCTTTTCGACTCTATGCTTGAGTTCTTCGGAAACAGAGATGTATCTCTGAGAGACAGATTGCTGGAATTTAAGAAAGACTTTGGCAGATTTATCTGCAAAATTTAAGGGTAATAATTTACATCTTCAAGACAACGAGCTCAATTTGATCCTTACAAAATCAGTTATTTCTGCCTTCTTAAAAAAGCTCATTTTGTGGAAGCAGAATTTTGGTTGGAATGAGTTCAGCCAAGCAGGAGAAATTCGCTCTGATGATGCTCAAGAATATTGTCAACACCTTGACTCGTTGTACATGGACTTTTCTGACCGTTTTAAAGATGTTTTGTTCCCTAGAAGTGCCTCAATGGGCTTATGGGTTCTGAACACTTTTGTGAATATTGAAACAGCAGAGGTTCAGATTTGGTCGAACTTTTAACTAATGAAACTTTGAAATGGTGATCGTCTCACAGAATTTTTGCTTAAAGGTAACGTCAGTCGTCTCTATCCTGGACTGTAGACTACCATTAAAA